GAAATTGGTGAAAGGGCCGATGCACTAGCCCTGGCAAGGCAAAGGGATGCTGCATCTAGGCAATGGTTTAGAGAAAATGAAGTGATGCGACAAAGGAGAGAATGAATGTAGGAAACATTTTGATAGAGATTCTTTTTGACTTGTCAAATGGTTAGTTCTGGGCAGAGGTGGATCTAGGTCTTGTGCTGCCTAAACCTTATACAATTTGATGAGACTCTCTTTAAGAAGAAGAATATAAAATTGTCAACATAAAATTAATATTCATTTTTAATGAAAAAGTAAATCATAGTGAATTATAACTTATTATAATACAACAAATACTACAAACATTACAGATTCCAGAAAAACAACATATTTTCATTAATTAACTGTCTGACACACCTCTATAAGTGTTTTTCTTCAGTTTTTGATTGCAGATTCTTTGATCACTTCTTCATATGATAAAAATTCTGAAATATCATTTTTTACTGAAAAAAGATAATTCAATCTTTTATCTAGCAGAGTTGATTAAACCTTTTAAATTAGTACTTGAGGAAAGTTTGTTTTACTTTCACAATTCATTGATAATGCCACATACATTTTAATGACTTTTATCAAATTTGGGAAAACATTTGTTCTGTTTCTATCATATGTGATGTCAAAGCAAAAATTGAACCCAACAAAGTTAAAGCATTAAGGAGGACTTTATTCAAGGCTATTGCAATAGTGGAGAGAGCCCAGATCTCAGTATGAGGTCAACTTCACTGAAACAAAAGATAGGAGAGTGTTTTTGTTTGTTTGTGTGTTTTGTGAAGAAGATTGGCCCTGGGCTAACATCCGAGCCCATCTTCCTCTACTTTATATGGGACACCACCACAGCATGGCTTGGCAAGTGGTGTGTTGGTCCAGGCCTGGGTTCAGAACCTGCAAACCCAGGCCACTGAAGCGGAGCGCATGAACTTAACCTCTACTCCACCGGGCCATCCCAGGAGAGTTTTTAAGGGCTGGAATAAGCTAGAGGAAAAGTATGTGAGGATATGAGGAGGATCAGTGGGATATATCCAGCACATTGACTTATTCTTGAATTCGCAAAGATATTTTCCGTGATTAGGCCATCTGTGTTTGCTAATTGACACCCATAGAAGTTAGTCTCCTACTGTCCCACAGAGGCTGGAAGATAGGGGTGCTACCTCTTTGACAATTACATTTCAAAAGGATGGCTCCCAAGTACTTGAGGAAGACATTCCTGGGTTGTAAAACTGGAAAGAGGCTTTTAAAAAAATTTACATCTCAAAAAGCCAGAGCAAGAATTTACAATTTTAAGTTTCCTAAAGAGAATGCTCTACAAATAAAAAAGGGAGGTCAGAACTAGAGTCAGGAAGAGGCCTGTCTTAAGTTTAGTCAAACTGAGGGAAATGTTAACGCTTTTTTGTTCAGGGAATGATAACATCTCAGTACTTTTCAATTTTGCCTATGAAGTGACTCCTTAAATACTCTTTGAATTGATGACATTTACTAATTATTTTTTTATTGATAGCATCATTGTAGTGACATTTTATAATTTTATGGTATCTCTGGTGTCAGAATCATCTCAAATCAGCAAGAAAAGTAAATATATTTCCAATATGTTCATATGATTAACATTAATTAAATTAGCAAAGTAGCCTATGCATTACTTCTATTTGAAATGTTTCTATTCTTAATGAATTGCTGCTTTTGATTTGATCTGGAAAAAGGTTTTTACAATTTGCTAGTCTAAGTCAGAATAATTTTTATCCTATTCTTGCAAATTTTACAAAAACCCAAGATCACAGGAACACATAGCTAGTTCTCCTCCCAGGGAAGCTGAAGGAAGGATCCCCAAAGCCTAAGCATCAATAGCATCAGGTTAAATCTACCCCTGCTGTTGGAGTGAAATACTGAGAAAGGAATGGAAGGGAGAAGCTGAGGACGATGCAGAGGTTTTTATACCCCTTCCTTATAAGAGCTTTTCCTTCCACAGTTCCCAGGGTCCTAGGGAAACTTATTAAGAGTGTACTTGTTGGGTAACAACCGCCTCCCCAGACTCAAAATCTCCCCTCTGCCCCTGGGCCAAAACTGGCCCACCAACTGGTTTTGTATGGCTCATGAGCTAGGAATGTTTTGACATTTTAAAATGGTTAAAAGAAATCAAAAGTTTATTATTTTGTGACACATGAAAATTATATGAAATTCAAATTTCAGTGTCCATAAACAAAATTTTGTTGGAAAACAAACCATGCCCATTTGTTCATATACTGACTATGGGAACTATTGTTGTACAACAGCAGAGTTTAATAGTTGTGATAGAGACCACAAAGTTTTTTACTTTGGCTCTTTACAGATATTTACTACCCTGCTCTTTACAGACAGTTTGCTGTTTCCTGGTCTAGAGTTATTCTTATCAACTAATTAAACCTAAATTTTTAATAACTGATAATGCTTAGTATTGTTATTATTGATTTGGCCCTTACTAAATACTAGACATATGTAGTCCTTACCTAATGCAAAGAACTGAATAATGTGGCAGTCTCAGATACCATGGCATGATGCCCCTCAGGGGAAACATTTTTTAATTACGCTGTCTTTTGTTCATTCTCAAATCACAGTATGCAGGCAATAGGCCTCCTCTGCTCTTGCAAAGGCAATCTCACTCTAGTTAAATAGAAATATGGTAAATAAAATTAAATTTCAAGCTGTCCTGCTGTTTAAAGAATCTCTACGGGAATTCAATCAGCGGCATACTTTTAATTTCACATCATCTGATATTGTTTGCGATTTAGTGACAAACAAGTCTGGCAGTTTTCTCCACAGTTTTCTATTTTCCTTGAATGTAAATTTTCCATCTGGGCACTGAAGACCTAGGTAGGAAGACCACATGTGTGATCTGTATCAGTCAGAATTCTGTTCAGCTGCATGAAACAGAAACTCATCTCAACAAACTTAACTAATAAGATTTTTTTGCCCCTGTAATCAGGAATTTAGGGCTAGTGTAGCTGCTCAGCATTGTAATTTTTTGAAAGGTTAAGCAAATGGGGCTAGGCTGAGGTGTGGGCTCCTTCTAGCTTCCTGTTCCAACATTCTTACCATTTCTTTAGCTTTTCATCTTATAGGCACAGGGTGACTGTTTTACCTTCTAGTACCTCGTCTGAGATTAAGGTGAGAAAAAGGAGCGAAACACTAAGGGCGAATGGAAAAAAGCCTACCAAAGAATTATATAGCAAACACTAATACAACAAACACTGTCTGCCAAGCACTCTTTTAGAATCTTCCCAAATAGTAATTCATTGATAATATGCTAGCTGAGTCCATCCCCTTTAATAAACTGTATACATCTCATTGGCCCAAACCATGCTACATGGCCATTCCTAGAGGCAAAGAGGTCTGGGAAGGTAGGCATTTCATAATGGACACATTTGACTCATGAGGTTCTATGAGTAAGGAAGAGTGGAAGAATGGATATCCGGCAGACAACCAGAACATTCGGTCCCAGTGTCTATAACAGGGCCAATGATTTCGGCCATAGCATGGTTGACTAGGGTCATATCCACTGTCTTGATGATTTGTACCAATCACAGAGGTCAGACAAAGCTTCCAGAGACATGACATGAACACACTGACTTTTACAATCATTGAAAGATTAACTTTACTGTGGCCTAAATTGATGATTGTGGTGGGTCTTTTTGTTTTTCTATTTTGATTGAAAGCCACTGACCCATGTCGATGGGTGATGGAGGGTTAATAATGGGCAGCATAGGTCACCTCCTCCCCTGGGAAGGTATGATGGAGAGTGTGAAAGAAAAATCTAAGACATTCAACTCATCTGTATTTTTCAGTAGCGTTACTGGAGAGTCTTATCTGCCTAAAAAGGTGACCAGCTTCTAGAAGGCAAGGTTCATTTCTTAGTCTCCTTCATTGCCTCCACGGGGGTTAACACAGAGGCAATACTCAAATTTTGTTCACTGACTTGTAAACCTGAAGAAGGCAGTTTATTCAGAAAATTGGAGTTTCAACTTAGGAACAATTCATCAACTCCTGTTAATATTCAGCTCACTTCATCAAGATCAGTGACTTCAAGGGATAAATCCACTTTGTACGTGAAACTACTGGAAAAAGTTTCTACTTTTGCCAATATCTTTCAAAGTACAATTTGTGTTTACAGAATATTAATATAGGCAGGTCCTTTACTGTCATTTACTCCCACCCTCCTATTTTTTTTAAATTTTTGATTAGAAATCTGACTCAGAATGGTGAATTGTCTACCTATAAAGTTTTTGTGTGTGACTTTGATGTTTTTATCTAATTTACTTAATCCACACAACTTCATCCTCATGCTTATTAGCAAAACTCCTTATTCTTATTGTCTTCAAATCCTTCTATGAAGAGGTCAGTCCAACACTGATACAGCATCAAAGGGAAGCATCAGTAACTTTTTGGCCTGATATTTTATATTTTTCTTCGCATTAAATCATAAACATACTTTAAAGGCAATCGATCCTGTCAGATTATGAGGTCTATACTTGTTACCAAAAGAAAAATGCTTTTTGAAATTGTTTTTAACAAAAACAACAGCTGCTCCCACTTCCATAAGTGGGAGAAGTAGAAAAACCTATACTTTATTTCTGGGGCAGTAGGGTGCTGTGCAGGTATAGAAAGAGGGGTGGGTTATATTTTCTCTTGCTGACTCATAATGCTGTGAATCAATACAGTGGCAATTCAGTTGTCTGGACTCTTTCTACACAACACAACTCTCAGGATACTTTCTCATTCATCACAGAGAGGCAGTATAACTTACTGGAAAGAGCATGGATTTGGTGTCAAAGTGACCTGAGTTTGAATCACTGCTACGTCACATACCAGCTCCATGATCTTGGACAAGTCATTGACATCTTTGAACCTTCCTTTCTATAAAATGGGGACAATAACTCATAGAATTGCTGTGAGGACTACATTTACAATGACCATTTATTTCCATTCTCCTATTTTGTGTTTGCTTTGTACAGAGGGAAAAATTCATAAAACTGCTGGACCAGTTGCATAACTCTTTAAGGATTGACCTGTCAAAGTACAGGGTATGTATGAAATTATCTGCCTAAAGGTAAAATATTATGTTTGGCTCAGATGATTTCTTGTCATACTGTAAAAAATTATCCACTATGTAATAGAAAAGTAAAAATACCGATCTTGGGATCTCACGTCCTGTCACACTAGGAGGGTCCCCTAAGTAAGCAAGCAGATGTTCCTTGTTCAGGTAACTTGTCCCACATAATCCTACAACAATACTGTATGTGTGTGTGTGTGTGTTTGTACAGCTTTAATTTTATAATTATTTTAGTAACCACCAGATTGAGTGGCCCTTAGCTAATTCATGAAGTAGACACGTGGCCCAGTCCTCATCTTGAAATCTCATCACTTGTCACCGAGATATCCTGCTGATATTTCCCCAGCTTTTGAGATTCCTACTGGGATTCCCTGCTTAATTCACTCCTTCTAGATCAGTACAAAGTGCTTTTTTGAAGCTGTCCCGAGTTCATTGTCAACAATTCTATACTTCACCTCCAGGTGAAACACACACAAAAACACAAATATATTCATGTATGTGTATGTGTGAATACAAACATGTAATTTTAGTTAAAAAGTATCTTAGTGATAAAAAAATCAGTTACAAATTTTATTTACAAAAAAATCCATTGTAATAACTATTCCATTCATTTAACAATTTATCCTAAACATCTTTCCTTATCTGCACATATGTGTCTCTCCTGCATTCATTTTTTAGTCTCTTATTGATGGATATCTGAATTGCATATTTCTGGAAATTGTAATACCAAATTTTGTCAGATTCACCTTTTATGGTGGAACTGGGGCCAACACAATGAGAAGAGAACTACTATGCCAGCCGACAAAAAAGACATTTGGGGGCAAGAGGGGCCTTGTGGCCACCTCATTCACCATCATTCAGACACCCCTACTCTGCTCAAGTTCATGAATGTCTAAAAGTTGCCTGGGGTTTTCCTGATAACTTTTTAAAAAGCCAATCTGAAAGCATGTTAATATGAGAAGTTTCTCAATGTTAAAATAGTTTCTTTTTTTTTTTTCTTTTTTTTTTTTTGTTTATTGCAGTAACATTGGTTTATAACATTGTAAAAATTTCAGGTGTACATCATTGTACTTCTTACATCAAACGTTTTCCTGATTATACGTTTCCTTTCCTTCAAAATTCTGAACATCTGCGTTTTTATATGACATTTTTCACCAAATCTCACTAACAGAAACTTTTGTTGAAATCCACAGTACTTCAGGAAGAGACTGTGCAGTGCAGTTTTATTTTCCTTAACTGTTATAAGTTTCTTTGTAACTAAAAGTAAATGTAGCACATGTAAAAGTTTCCTAAGTATTTTTGAAAAAAATTAGCTGTCTTGAGAAAATTATAAAAAATATTTTCAAATACATGCTGTCCTCTCCTCTTTTAGTAGCAAAACTATTTTATGAACAAGGATGAGTAACCTAATAACATTGCATTAATGATGTTGTTTTGCATATTTTTATTGCATTGTGGGAATAAATAAAAGGATATGGCTTTCTAAGACTAAGAGAATATTTCCAAATTCTTTACTTTCTGTAATGTTTTATGATAAAAATATTGTGAGTATACTGTAGGGATATTTTTAAAATTTTACATGGTTTGCTTCCCATTTTCTTTCATAAAAAGCTGGTTTTAGGGGCTGGCCCTGTGGTGTAGCGGTTAAGTGCGCGCTCTCCGCTGCTGGCGGCCCGGGTTCAGATCCCAGGCCCGCACCGATGCACCACTTGTCAGGCCATGCTGTGGCAGCATCCCATATAAAGTGGAGGAAGATGGGCACAGATGTCAGCCCAGGGCCAGTCTTCCTCAGCAAAAAGAGAAGGATTGGCATGGATGTTAGCTCAGGGCTGAACTTCCTCACAAAAAAAAAAAAAGCAGTTTCAGTTTATTTTCCCATTGGAGGCTTAATGCTGATAATTTACCCATTTTCTGTTTCCTAATTAACCAGGAAAACTTTCCTGCCAGCAATGCCGAAAGACTGCAGGACCTGAAGTCAACGGTTGACCTTCTAACAAGTATCACCTTTTTTAGGATGAAGGTACCTCATTTTATTTCTGTCACTGCCTTGGTGTGACGTAACACATTTATTCCCTGATAAAGTCTGGTTTTATCCTTCTCTTGATCAATTCTGTTCAACCCCAGCAATTAAGCTGTGGTGCCTTTGCCTGAGCTAAATGAATCTTCCAATATAAGGTGTGTTGAAAAGGGATTATCCTAGACAGTTGAGATATTCTGATACATTTGGCTCAAATTTAGTTTTAAATTAAATCCATCTTAAACAAGCCTCCCTAGTAAGTGGACATGGCACTTAGGAAAAAAAAAAAAAGTAAGACTATTAAATGGAAATGGAGTTTACGTATTTTAATTTTAACACAGATAACTTGCTGACTTTTTCGTCGCCAAGAGAGTGCTGACTCTTTTAAGCTGACCCTGATTGTGGCAACTTCCATTTTCAGCCCTGGCAATGTCTACATAGGAATATATTTGATCACTTAACCCATTACGATAATTAACTATTATCTACCAAACTATGTAGGTATTTCTTTTTAGATATATCTCCTTTGCTTTAATAGCAAGTTCTCTGCAATCATAATTTGGCTAGTGGGACAATTCATGTAAAGTCTTTCCTAAAACTACTTGTCAAGCTATGGGCTAAAATGTTTTGCTCTTTGAAAGAGAGTCTTATGATATTTATTCAAAAAAATTCTGTACGGAAAAAAACAGAAATAGTCATTTTGTTCTTTTCAGTGTTGCCCATGATTGTTTTCACTAGAAGCACTAAAAATGGTATTTTATAATATGAGAGACAGAAAACAAAACCATACTGTATCAACAATCATTTAAATTCTTTAAAGTTCAATTAAAATGTATTTGGTTTAAAACCATGGTTAAATTGGGTGTCTAGGATAAATAGAATGTATGTCAATTCAGATCTACTGGCAGCAGCTGCTGGAACAGTGTGTGGAGAATGATAATGAGACCCAATCCAGGCTCAGTGGGAAAGTTCACTTGATTGACAGGTGATGCCTCCCATGGACAGTGATGGGGTGGGCAAATGAGAGTGATGGTAGGGAGTGCCAGCACAAGTGCCACATATCTGTCATTCCTCAGTCACCAGCCTTGCAATGTTTAGAAAACAAAATCTCTTCAAACTTGCAACTCCTCCTCCCCTCCCTCACGACCAGCTGATGACTTTGCTTCCTATTTCATTGAAAAAGCAGGAGCAAAGACTGGAGAGCTTCCTCAAGCTCTGACCATCTGCTCCCGCCACCCACCCCATCCAGTTACTTACCTGCATCCTTGTCCATATACTCTTCCTTCTTTTTTATTATTATTGATTAGCTGTCTGTTCTCCTAAAAAAGACAATCTCTTCCACCTTTGCAATTGATTTCATCCCCTCTTGGGTGCTAACACATTGCTCCAGCAATCCTCCCCACTTGCCTGACTTATCAAGTTTCCCCTTTCTACTGGACACTCTCCATCACCAAACATGCTTTTAATTTTCAATCTTAAAAATAGTGCTTGAATCAACTTTCTTCTACAGCTGCTACCCTAATGTCTCTTTTCCTTTAATACCAAAACTCCTCAAAATAGTCTTCTGTACATTTTCTTTCCAATTTCTTTTCTCCCATTATCTTTTGGACAAATTTCCTCCTCCATTATCCATTTTTCTCATTACAGATGGTAAAATTCACTCTTTTACTTGTATAAATCTATTAGATTTGACAAATGTGTATTTGTATAGCCACCATTATAATCAAGACATAGAACAGTTCCATAAGCCTCCAACATTCCCTTGTGCTGCTCCTTTAGAATCAACCCCTGTCCCACCCTCTGGTGACCACTGATCTGTTGTTGTCCCCTATGGTTTTGCCTTTTCCAGAACGTCATATAAATGAAATAATACACTATGTAGCATAATACATTGGCTATTCATCCATCTTGTTCAGTGTATCAAGTTCATTCCATTTAATTGCTGAGTAGCAGTAATTCTTTGCTATGTAGGTACTACAAGCATTTGGGTTGTTTCCAGTTTGGGGGTATAACAAATTAAACTGTTAAAAGTATTCATGTACGTATTTTTAGTGTAAACATTAGTTTTCACTTTCCTTGGGTAAATACCTAGGAATGAGGTTCCTGGATCATTTAGTAAATGTATGTTTAACTTCACAAGAAATGCCAAATCATTTTTCAAAGCAGTTGGACAATTTTTAATTCCCAGCAGCAACGTATGAGAATTCCGGTTGCTCTACATCTTCTGGTGAAGCTCTTGGTATTTTCCATGGTTTTAGGACTGAAGTTGTATCTTGTGTGGTCTATTAATTACTAATGTTGATCATCCTTTCTTGGGCTGATTTGCCACCTGAGTTTCTTTTATAAACAATCTGTTGAAATATTTTGCCCGTTTTTTATTAGGTTGTTTTCTTATTGTTGAGTATTAAGAGTTCTTTATAGACTCTGAATACAAGTCCTTTATCAGGTACTTTATTTATTAATATTTTCTCCCTGTCTGTGCTTTGTCTTTTCATTCTCTAACAGTTATTTTTGCAGAGCAAAAGTTTTTAATTTTAATGAAGTCTACCTATCAATTTTTCTATTTATGGATAGTGGCCCTGGCTAAACCAAGGTCACAAAGAGATTTCCTATGTTTTTTCTAAAAGTTTTGTTTTACCTTTTCTATTTAGTTCTATGATCCATTTTGAGAGTTTTTTTTAATAAGGTATGAGGTGTGGGTCAAGGATAACTTTTGCGTATGCATGTTCAATAGTTCTAACACCATATATTGAAAAGATTATCCTTTATCCATTGAATTGTATTTGCATCATTATAAAAATAATCAATTGGCCATATTTGTTTGGGTCTATTTCTTGACTCTGTATACTGTTCAATTGTCTATACTTTCACCAAGACCATATTGTCTTGATTACTGTAGCCTTATAGCAAATCTTAAAATCAGATAGTGTGCATCTTCTACCTTTTTTCTTCTTCTTCAGAATTGTATAGGTGATGTTTCTTATTGGTATTTTGATTGGGATTGCATTAAATCTATAAATCCATCTGGAGAGAACTGAAATTTTAACAATACTAAATCTTCAAATCCAACCTTATATTTTGAACCCACTCCAATCAGACTTTTACTTCATCACTTACCAAAAATGATCTTGTCAAAATCACCAATGACCATCACTTTGCTAAATCTAGTGGTCAATTATCCGTCTTCATCCTCCAGTATTCGATATCACTTGATATATTTCATCAATCCATCCTCCAGGAAACCCTTTCTTCCCTAGATTTCCATGACACCCCTCTTGCTTAGTTTTCCTCCTGTCTCATTGGCTGACATTTTCTCCACCTCTTTGTTCTTTCTCATTTTCCTGATGTCATAGGGCTAGAATTACCGAGGGTTTATTTCTTGGACCTCTTTTCATCTCCATCCATACTCATCTAATCTTGTTTTTTTAAATTCCTCTCTAAGCTAATAATTTCCAAATTTATATCTCTAGCCCAGGTGTCTCCACTACACCAGACTCATTTATCCAAGTTTCTATTTGAAATCTTCTCGTATGCATAATAGGTTGCTCAATCTTAACCCGTCTGAAACTGAGCTTCTGATCTCCCGAGCACAGCCTTGCCCATCTAAGTTGAGGCTACCTCCATTGTACCGGTTACTCAGACTAAAACCTTGGGGTCCTGACTCCTCTTCCCTCACACCAATCATCCAATCTATCAGTAAGTTCTGTTAGCAAATTAACCAGAATATGATTTCTTCTAACAGCTGCTAGCTTTCCACCATAGTCCAAAAACTATCTTCTTTTGACTGAATTATTGCACTATTCTCATCACTAGTCTTACTACTTTTTCCATAGCCCACCTTAAGGCAGCATAAGGGAGCCTTTTAATAGGTAGTTGAAGTTCGCTCACTTTGCTCTTCTGCTCAAACAGTCCGATTCCTTCCCACCTTGCTCAAAGCTAGGGTTCTTACGACAGTCTATATGTATATGTGAGTTTTCTCCTGGTCCCATCCTCTTACTTTTCTGAGTTCGTCTACTGTTGCAGTCCTGTATTAATTCTATTCCACTGAATCACTTCCTATCCCCTTTTCTCTGCTTTATTTTTCTTTTCAACATGCATCATCATGTAATATATTTTACTGATTTATTTTGTTTTTTATCTACTAGAATTTAGCTCTATGAGGAAAGGGATTTTTGCTTCTTTTGTTCATTGTAATGTCACCACTGTCTGGCATATAGTGGGTGATAAATATTTGTTGAATGATTGAATGAAATGAATGATATTGTGATTGGTCACCTTAAGTGTTTCTATTTGAATATTTGCAACTATGATCGTTTCACTGAGTTGTCATATCAGAAAGTTAACGTGAATATGTACACATTTAAAATATTTCTAAGACCACATCGTTCCTGAATATAGAAAAATCAACTAAAAACATTCACTGAATATTGTTAAAGTTGTTTATAATGGCCTACAATGTTCTATTCTTGAGTTTAATAAAATAATTTCTCTGTCAGGTTCTGGAGCTACAAAGCCCACCAAAGGCCAGCTTGGTGGTGAAGGACTGTGTCAGGGCTTGCCTGGATTCTACATACAAGTATATTTTCGACAATTGCCATGAACTCTATTTCCAGCTGATAGACCCGGTAAGAAAAGATGAGTGTCTACTTTCTGTTTCTAATGCCTTGTTTCCCTAAGTTTAGAATGACAGTAAATGGGAAAGTATGTTCATTTAATTTCACATTAACTGCAAGTTGTGAGAATTTTAATATTTTTTCTTTACATTTGGATATCACTTTCACATACGTGAAGTAATTCAGTCCTTACAATAACTTTATGTGGTAAAGATGGATACTGTTGTTCAAGTTTTTCAGGTGAAGGGTCGGTTTTAGAAGAATTAAGTAATCTGCTCAAGGTCACAGGTGGGAAGTAGCAGATGTGGGACTAGAATTTAGGATTCCAACTCCCGCGCCTGTGTTCTTCCCCCAACTCATACTGCCTCTCTTCTCATTTTATATCATAAAAGTGATAGATGGGGACATTTTTATAGATCAGGATGGTAAAATTGTTATATATGTAAATGTATTATTAAGAAATATTTCGGGCCAGCCCCGGTGGCCTAGTGGTTAAGTTTGGCGTGCTCCACTTCAACAGCCCGGGGTTGGTTCCCAGGCGTGGACCTACGCCACTCGTCTGTCAGTGGCCATGCTGTGGTGGCAGCTCATACACAAAATAGAGGAAGATTGGCAACAGACGTTAGCTCAGGGCGAATCTTCCTCAGCGAAAAAAAAAAAGAAATATTTCAAAAATACAAAAGAAAATACAGAAAGTAAACCAAACATGCATATACTTACCACCTAGACAACCAAATGTTAACATTTAGCAATGTTTGCTCGGCTCTTTATTGTTTAAAGGCATTAAATGTTACACATGAAATGGTATTTCACTTTATATTTCTTCCAAATTCCATTCCCCTCCTTTCCTCCTCCTTCAGAGATGAACATTATTTTAATATTGGTGAGTTTGAACATCTTTTCACATATGATCAATGAACACTTCAGTTGTATTTTCTGTGAATTCCATATTAACCTGTTGCTGATTTTTCCCTTGGCTTGCTTGTCTTTTACTTATTAATTTGTAAAAAAATTACAAAACATATTCTGGATACTAATCCTTTGCCAGTTATGTGATTTCATGTATTATTTCACTCTTTATATGTGATGTTTCTTTTTGTTGCATTGACATTTTCTAATGCACACTATGATTTATACATTGCTATTACTTCTATCAAACTGGTGTTTTGGGATGGGTTTTTAATATGTGTCTATTGCCTACCTGCTTCCCTGAAGAATATAGTTGCTCCACTAGATATTGAAAACTGTGCAATTACCTGTGGAACTTCCTGGTTACTTGAGTTGGGCAGATTCTAGAAAGCGTATGTTGGATGAAGGCAAGTGAGACTCTTGCAAGCTAGATTTCAAGCTGGGTTTCTTATGGTGTTAAATCTTTGTGGGATCACTTATTCCTTAGCCTAATAGGAGAAAAAAGTTAAAGCTGAAGTTTGTCATTGTATAAGCCAAACAATGTATAACCACGTAATTGTTTATAACTTTAGTTAATCATTTCTGCTAGATGTGCTCCAGTTTAGAAACTTGGTTCTCTGGGATTTCTAGGGATTAAATTGTCTCTAATTTATATTTTCCCGTTGGGTGGCTTCCTAATGGCTTCCCTTCATCTATTCTCTACTCTCTATCTTCCTTTCACAAGGCTCTTTCAGTTCTTCTGCTGCATTTTCAACATCATTGTCTTTATTTACCTAAAAGATAAAATTGAAACTTTTTATTACACCATATATATTACCCATACATAAATTCATAATCAATCTTACCAGACCTCACCAGCCTCAATTTCCCACTCCTTTCAACTCCAAACCCAAACTGGTCCCCTCTCATGGGCCCTAAATTTTATTATTTCCATGAATTGGCCATCCTTTGTACATCCATGCATTTATGTGTCTTGTTCTCTATGCCTAAAATGTTCTTCCCCCATTCTCTGCCTTCATCAAAATCGAACTTAAATATAACCTCCTGTTCTACTAATCCACACCTACTGGATACATCAAATCACCAAAGTGGCATACCTATTTAGTGTCTTTCTAATATATAAATAATAATGATGATAAAAATAATAAATAAAGTTTTATTTCTATAAGAGATATAGAAATATAGGCAGTTCCCATAGAACAAACATGCCGCTAACAAAAAGTAAATGAACTGTCACATCGAAATGAATCTAATATAGCTTAATATTTGCTGACTTGGCTTTGAAAAAAGAGATATCTACATAATTTGCTAATTGACTGAACCTCCTTTTTAGGTAGATAGATCTCTAGATTTTATATAAAATCTTGTCAATGTGGGGAATGTTTGGAGCTAAGCTTTAAATCTGAGAAAAAGCTTTTCCATAAACATTGTTGTCATTTGAAATTCTAAAGGAAACACCTATTGGATCTGAATAACTTAGGAAACTAATACTCCCTAGAGCCCTTCTGAAGCCATCTCAGAACAATTTCAATGATTAAGGCTCATCTCCCCTCATTTGACTGCAACTTCATTCTCCTGGGAGCTCACGTTAAGACTTTTTTTTCCTCACACCACACTAATGAATTGTCCTCAAATTCTGATGACTTTATCTTCAAAATTAAATGCTTATCTTCACAACACATCCAGAATCTGACCATTTTCACCAGCTCCATGCTTCTACCCTGGTCCGAGCTACCATCATTGCTCACTTAGATTACTTCATAACTTCTTAACAGAGCTCAATGCTTTCTCCTTACCACCTTATATCTGTTTTCAACAGAGCAGCAAGAGTGATCCTTTTAAAAAGTAAATCAGATGATGTCACTCTTTTGCACAGAGTGTTCTAAAGTCCCTTCATTTCAGTCAAATTCAAGGTCCTCACAATGGCCTATAAGGCACAGGATCTGTCCCATATTATAACTTCCATCCCACTTACTCTATTACACCATCTTTTGCATATATCATAATGTGAGTGGAGAGCTAAATAAGAGTTTACCCACAGGAAATTAACATGAACAATGCTGTACCTCAAAAGCATTTGTTGAGTGAATTGAACAAATGAATAAACAATAATTTTTCTCAAACAATACGGTAAGAATTTATAGATGTATTTGGCCTATTATAAATAAGACTGAAAGAAGTGCTCTACTCTGTGGTAGGCTCTCAGTGCTTGCCCAAAGCCCCTTACCCTTGTACTGGGTCATGTTGCAGGGTGCTGGATGGTGAGATATGGGAGGAATTGATGAAAGCCACATCTAGTTCCAACCCTTAAAAACATCCTGCAATCTCCTCCAGCTGCCTCTCTTCTGCAGTAACCTAGAAGGATACACATACCGGATGCTATAGCTACCAGGTGGAGGTGGGCTACCTAGCCAGCTTCAGACTTTGGATATTAAAGAAATAATCCATTATTGCATTAACTCACTCAGATTTGGAGATTTATTTGTTACCACAGCACAACGTGGCCTATTTTGACTAATAGACCTTCCCGTCCATTTCCAAGCTGCCGCCCAAGCTATTTAAAATATGTCGGGTTTTTTTACAACTATGCTGTCTATAACTCTTCACTGGCTCCCTATTCACTCATGAGATTAAGTCCAAACTCTTTGCCATTATCCAAAGGTCCTTCAAGATTGGAGCCCTAGGTATTTTTCCTTATTTCAACCTCATTTCCACCTTGCATTCTATGATTGAGCACACTAAACTCCACGATGCCTTTGCCTGCATTGTCTTTACCTGCCTGGATTGTGCTTCACTTCTCCAAATCCTGATCTTGGCTAACTCTAACTCATCTGGCCTTTTCTTCAGAAAGCCTTTAGGACCTCTCCTAGCTGAATTAGGTGTTCCTGCTCTCAGCTCTCATAATACCCTGACATATCATCACCAGTGCACTTTTCATGCTGAATTTATTAGGCGCAATAGTATATTATCTGTCTGGCCTGACTTCTCCACTAGGCTGTGAGTTTCATTTTTGTAGTCTCAGTGTTCAACGCTGTGCCTGACACAGAGTAAAGTTTATAAACAAAGTAATTAATTAATAAGAAATAAATTTTATAAAAACAGCATTATCTTATTTATAGTCTTCTTCAGTGACTCCACATCAAAGTCTGTGGTCAAGAACATGATCTCTGATATCAAAACTCTTGAGTTCAAATCCTGGCTTTCCTGCTTATTAGTTTTGCAGACTTGGATGAGCTACTTAGCCTCTTCATGTCTCAGTTTCTTCACCAAGACATATTTTTAATAGTCATGCTACTTCTTTTTTACCTGAGTTCTCTCTAGGTGATGTAATGCCTGAAACAAAAGAATAAGAATTTCAGGGTTGTTAGACACAGTATAATTCTTATTATTTAAATGTAGAAGCATACTTTGTCTCTCCAAAGGAGTTTTGAAGAACCATATAAAAATAGTGCTTGGAATAAAAGTGGAAAATAGATTTGAGAGAAAAGTTGAAATAGTTACAGTTTAAAGAATAGGATAGAAGTGTGGTCTCCAGAGGCTGACTGCTCCATCATGGAGCAGCACTTCCCTTGACTGAATCACCAGGCTCCATGTTTGTCCTTCAGCTTAGCATAACTAAGAACTCAAATGTGGCAATGTAGACAGAAGTGGTTGCTCTCTTGCATAAAGACATATGAGAGATCAATCTACAAACTAGCCTAATGTTTTATTTATTTATTTATTTTTTATTTTTTATTTTTTTATTTTTTTAAATTTTTTGAGGAAGATCAGACCTGAGCTAACATCCATGCTAATTCTTCTCTTTTTGCTGAGGAAGACCGGCTCAGAGCTAACACCTAATGTTGTTTTAATTACATTTCTTTAATTAATAATGAGGTTAAGAGTCTTCTCATAAGCTTGTTAGCCTTTTGAGTATCCATTTTTATTAATTGCCTGTTCATATCTTGTGCCTATTTTTTAAAAATAGAATCTCTGTCTTTTTCTGGTTGATATTCTGGCATTCCTTAGTCCTTTGTCAGCTTTTGACATTGCAAAGATTTTTCACAATCTGTTGTCTTTCTTTATCTTTGTCACTGTGTACATTTATAAGAAATTCTCAATTT